GGTCATGAAAGCTGAGGTCCTTGTGGTCCATCTTATCCTTGGACTAAGTGTTTCCACGTGCCTTTGATTTTCTTCACTCTTCTTTGCTCCAGATGAGAGGAGACCAATAGTTGTATCTTAGATGGCCGCTCCAAAGCTTTTAAGACCCCAGTGCTATTCACCAAAGTGAAATGTAGAACAAGCTTTTTATGTACTATGTTGTGCCAATTGAGCATGATGTCCCCCAAGACTATGGTCCCGAGTCCGCAGGCCCAGTGATTTTCTCTCTCAAGATGTTTAGTTGTCTCTGAGAAGTTATTCCAACTCTGTCTTCTGTTGTTTGTGTAATATATGTGGCTAATTTTGTAGCAGAAGTGCATACGTAAGATTATCTTCAGCCAAATCTATCCTTGGTCTTGGGTATATTCCTGTTTGCCTGTCCCCACCTGATCTTCTCACCTGTCTATGCATTTATCTGTAGCCCCATACTTGTTTTGATTGTTGCTTGGGATGTAATTCCCTCAGAACATGAAGGAGCTTCCCATTCAGTTCATTCCTGGGGAATGATGTGGAAATCCTCACTACCCGCCGCCCTTGATGCACCTTTCCAGTCAGTTCCAACATTTTCTTTGATGGTCTGTTGTTTGCAACTGCTCACCTGGTACCAATTTCTGACTTGGACATAATCTGGTTGCTCAGAACAGGAAGCCACTCAAGCTAGCTTAAGGAAAAGGGGTCTATATAAGGAGTATTTTCACCTAGCATAATTGCAGGAAGTGGAAAAGTGGTCAGTCACTTTCTCTGGAATCAAAGGATCAACTCCTCTCTGCTTCTCAACACCTCTCTGTTCCCTGGAACTTCATCCTGGCATCCTCTAAAACGCTTGCCTCTGTTAAGCACATGGTTCTCCTCTCCCACTGTGAGGGCCAGGCCCTAGGCCAACACCAAGTGACCTACTACTGCACTGTCCAACACCAGCTTGACTACAGAACTTCCTCTCGTTTTCTCTAGCATTAGAATCTGTTTGGCTCATGATGGGCCAAAATGTCCACTCCTGGTCCAGTCATCTAAGGCCCATGTGGGGAGTGGGACTTATAAACATGGCTGCCAAGGTCCACCAGATACTGGGGGGGGGGGTAAGACACACACATACAAACAGAAGTTGTAATAGTTCTTCGGTGTTGCATGCTAATGCTACAGAACACAAAGGGAGTTGTCCAAACACATCTCTCCTCACCCAACCTTCCCCAGCCCCCATCATCCACTCAACCCGTCACCATCCACGACCACCCCCTCTGAAAATTAATTTCTCATTAGGACATGTTTCTGATGTAGTTCACAGTTCTGTTTGCATTAAGAGTGTTGTAGCCAAATTCCCCTCCCACAGCGGAAACACTCTTCTCGCCATGAAAAATTCACAGCTTTACACCAAGGGCAGTCCCAATCCCCCAGTCTGCGCACTACTGGAGGCTTTTTCTTGTAATGGCGTTTGGAGTCTCTTCTACCTCTTTGGGGTTCCTGAGGATCTATTCCTTGGGTCCCCACATCAGACCAAAAGCTATTATTAGAGGCCCCCCAATGGGGAGACAGAACTGCTGCTGGTGGAGATCGTATGGCTTTGGGTAGGTCTGGAAATGCAGACAAAGGGTATGGGTATGTAAATAAGGAAGAGAATTGGACAGGAAAGGGTGCCTGCGAGGCTGTGGGCCTGGGATCGATGGCTGTCTCCATTGACCTGAGTTCACCCTCCGTCTGTCCTCCAGAGGTGAAATTTTTCGGCTCCACAACTCCAAGAAGCTGCAGGAAGCTTCCACTCAGCTGATGTGTCACCTCTGTAGCAGCAGCGGCAGCCTCTGCTGAATCCCTCTCTTCCTCTCCTCCTGGGCCACCAGCAGCAATGGTAGCAGCAGCAGCCCCTGCCTCTTCTTCCGCCTCACCTTCTCCTTCTGTCCCAACCCCACACATAGTGGCTAGGCTTGACCATCCGGTGACCATGGCCTTCTCTTCCTCCTCACCTTCTCCTTTTGCCCCAGCTCCACTGGCAGCAGATAGGCTTGGCCACCCTGTAGCCGGCTCCAGGGGTTGAAGCCTCTCCTGAAGAGAAGGGGGCAGAGTTGAGACCCATTCTGGGGCAAAGGGAGGGGCTGAAAGGCAGTGGTGGGGGGTGGAGTTAGGGAATGGAAGAGGAGGGGCCTTAAAAATAGGGGCGGGGCCTGCAGGGAAAAGCTGTGGGGTGTGGGGGATATAAGGACCCGGACTGGGAGGAGCTCTTACTGCCTGGAGGAGCTTCCACTTCAGCTGGTCCCTCTCCATCTGCACATCTGCTAGGGAGGCCTGGAGCAGCTGCAGCTGGAGGGCCACCCTCTTGTGTTCCAGTTCCTGCTGCACAGTGATCTCCTTCAGGTCTAAGGCTAGGGTCTGGGCGGCCGACCTGTGCAGCTTGGAGAATTCTTGTAGCCACTGCACCCTGAGCCCCTGTAACTGGCTCTGCCTGTGGGCGAAGCGCATGCCCAGGGCCAGGCTGCCCCAGGCGCAGACCTCCTTGACCTCGTTGGACATCTCGCTGTCTTCCAGGATGGCCGCGAGCTTAGCTTCCACCTCTGGCCAGGGCAGGGACATGTTCTCGAGGTAGAATTCAGGGCCTTTCGCGTGCCTGGCCATCTTCTTGTTAATGAAGGCCACCACCTCGGCATGGTGGAACCCACCACAGGGGTCCTCGGGGTTCAAGGCCATGGGGGTTGAGAGCCCTAGCGATTTTGCTGGTCCTGCGGGAAAGATTTACCAGTTGTATTCTTCCCACTCCTCCTTCCCTCCCCCTCTGACCTTTGGAATGACCCTCTAACTGGCTTGCCTCGCCCTAGGACACTTCCCCCCACACCTCACTTCTCCCAGAGCCACAGGTCGTGCAGGTCCACGACGCCCATCTACCACTTCCACAGGGGGAGGAAGCCTCATGGGCAACCTACTAGGTGTCTACCCTGGGACTGTTCCAACTTCTAGAGACTGTGGGGATAGGTGAATGCATGAAGAAGTCCCCCCCACACACACACACACCCCTAGTATATAAGGAAAGGGACTGCCGGTTTCAAAGCCCTAGAAGTCAGGAAGAAACAAGAGTGATAAGAAAATACTTAGAAATAAGAAAATAAAGCACTAGTAATCATTTTTAGAAGTACACACGCACCTCCAACAATGGTTTGTTCTCCGTCAAGGGGGCCCTCCAGCGGGTGGAATGTTGCAGAATAGAAAACAGCCTCAACAGCTCAGTGGCCTCAGACAGCCCCCTGGAGGAAGAGGGTGGAGCCAGGGAACATTCCCGTCCATTCATTGGTTTAGGACTGAACACTTACAGTGGTCCGAAATGGTTAGAAATCCTGGCTGTTTTGTGTTGAACCTGACCATCTCTGCCCCTCCACTCCTACACTAACCTAGTTCAGCCCCCTCATGTCTTTTCTGGACCACTGCAGCACTGTGACATCAGGTCTTTATCCTGCCCCAACTCGTCATAAAAGGGATCTGACCATGTCTCCTACAACCTTCAATGACTTTTTGAGGCCTGTAGGATAAGCCAGACAGACCTCAGGTTGAGTCTTGCCTTTGCCACTTACTATAACTGAATCTATTGGCCTATGATCAGGACTAAATACAAAACTGAATGTGAAATAAAGTCATAATTTTTATGATCCTATTTGTGTAAAATGTACAAACAAATCTTACATGGGAGCTCTGATGGTGTAGTCCCTAAGGCATTTGACTGTTAACCAGAAGGCTGGTGTTCAAACTCACCTGCTGCTACTTGGAAGGAAGACTGGGCAATCTACTTCCGTAGTGATATCACCTGGGAAACCCAAGGAGGAGTTGCTATGAGTCCGATCCGACTCCACAGCAGTGAATTTAGAGTTTTGTATTTAACGTATATATATATTGCATATTTCTCTGATCTTGGAACGAGGAGTGGGAGGATGTATACCAGACTGTTAACATTGGTTATAACTGTGTAGTGGGGCTGGAGGGGAAGTTGGGAGAAAGTTTTTAACTTATAAAATACTTCTTTGTGTGATTTCATTTGTTATAATGGACATATAACTCTATGTATGCATGCATTAAAAATCTGGAAAGATATGTGCCAAAATTTTAACAGTGGTTGTCTCTGGGTGATGGGAAAGTAAGTACTCTTTTTCCCTACTTTATTCTTTACATTTTTCTTTATTGTGAAAATAATAAGCAAGTACTATGTTTTGCAAAATAAAAAATACTTTTTTTCTGATAACATCTGATCATTGTAAATAAATTTTAATTATCCTTAATCACCTTTATGTCTTCCTATAATCCCTCCCTCCTTCCATCCTCAGAGATAACCTTGTTAATAATTTGATATTATCCTTCCACTCTTCTTAAATAGGTACTTGCTTCCTGGCCTTTGCACAGGCTTCTCCCTGTATTGGTAGCCCTTCAGCCCCTTCTTCTTTCTTTGCTCTCATTTCCATCATCTGCTTAGTTCAATTTCTAGTCCTCCTTCATGACAGTACTCAAGCATATAAATATTCTTGATCCTCCAAACTTCACCCCAAGATAGGCTGAGTTATGTGCCACCTTTCTGTGGCCCCATAACCTTATGCATACCATTTGCAGTACCTTTTACACTGTATTATAATCCATGACTTTTTCATCTTTTTTTCCCCATTACTGGCGTTCCTTGAGGTCAGACTCTGTGTCAACTATCTCTGTTTTGCAGTGCCTAGCATAGCAGTAAATACCCAATTAATAATTATTGAATAAATTGAAAGGATTCATTACATCAGTATGGTGCAAACAAGTACATTCAAAGAGCCTTATTTTCTTTCTTCTCTGAAATGTCTTTTTCTCCTCACAGACTGATTTTCTGCCACCTCACGGCTTCTTGTGGTAGGGACCTATCCTTAGTATTTGAGACCAACCAGTATCTGACAGATTTGGAATTTGTAAAAAATACCCTGGAAGATTCAGGAATGAAGCTCCTGTGTGAAGGATTGAAACAGCCAAACTGTGTATTACATACACTGAGGTATGTGGTAACTGGACAATGTGTTGTCTGTTCTCATACCTTTTTTTTTTTTTTTAATCGATTTCTGTTTGTTTGAGGGGGAAGCAGGAATAAGGTATTGAGGTCATTATTCTGTTCTCTGAAGGTTGTACCGATGCCTTATCTCTCCTGCTTCTTGTGGGGCACTAGCAGCTGTTCTTAGCACCAATCAGTGGCTCACCGAGTTGGAATTTTCTGAAACAAAACTGGAAACTTCAGCTGTGAAATTTCTTTGTGAAGGCTTAAAAGATCCAAATTGCAAATTGCAGAAGCTCAAGTAAGTTGTAACTGTTAGCTTCCACTCTGTAAGAAATTCTTTTTTAATTACATAACTCAAGATGGATGTGGCCTGGTGAAAACACATTACAAGGAGTCATGGAGAAGGAAAATGGAAGTGGCAGTTTCTAAAATTATCCCTATGCAACAAGCTTAGTAAGAGAATTCTCATTTTAACTGTCAATAACATCGATGAGAATAATAAACCCACTTCTCACTAAATGACATGGTGAGGTTCCAAAGACCAAGCTCTTTTGCAAAACTAGGCATTATGTGAAGATGGAAGATGACCATATCACATCACAAAAAGGAAGATGACTACATCATTGCATAACTCCCAAATTACATCATTACATCACTGCCAAACCACTGAGAATCATGGCCAGCCAAGTTGACATATACATGACCGCCACCATAACAGCCAGAGTTATTCTCACCTTGAAACTTGACGTTCATTAATGTCAGACATAAGTCATTAACGCGCAAAATAGTTGGATAGTTGTTTTTTTACTATTCTCACAAATGCAAAATGTCAGATAACAAGATAGTCAATAAGTGAGGGGTAGGAGTAATAATCCCGCCTCATTGCACACTTACTTTGTACTAAGCATTACATTGAGTACTTTGTATACATGATCTCCTTTACTCTGCACAAAAACTCTAAGTAGTCCAAATTATTACCCACATTTTAGAAGATGAGGAAATGGAGGCCCAACATCATAAGGCTAAAAAATGGTAAAGGCACAGTTTGAAACCTAGATGTGTGTGACTTCAAAGTCTATGGTAATAATCTTAATAAAAACTTTGCCATTGTATGTATTTTTGTAATAAAAATTCTTTAGCATTACAGTTTTCTAAAATCCACTTTGAAAACTTATTTTATGCGAAGTGCCTCTATTTAAAACTTCTAAATTGGGAGCTATAAATACATCTTCTCATGAGCCCTCTTCAAGACTGAACTTGAAGCCTGTTAACTCAAGAGAAAATTGAGGACTCAAAGATTATAGTGTACAGCAAAGAAATTCTTGAATATTATGGAAGAAAAACTTGATGGGAAGTGGTTCAAGGAATTGGACTATTTAATATGGAGAAACAAAGGTTGAGAGGGAGCTCTGGTAGCATAGTGTCTAAGGCACTTGACTGCTAACCAGAAGGCTGGCGGTTCAAACCCACCTGCCACTCCTTGGAAGGAAGGTTGGGCAATCTACTTCCGTAGTGATACTGCCTCGGCAACCCAAGAAGGGGTTGTTATGAGTTGGGTCCAACTCAACAGCACATAACAACAACAACAACAAAGGTTGAGAAGACAGGAAAGGTAGTAAAATTGTCTCTTTGTGACCCCCCCAATATTATGTAGATGACGGTGATGGTCTGGGTCTCTCTAAGGATGACACATAAAATTAATAATGGATATTTAGATAAAGGGCAAGACGTTTTGACTGTAAAACTTTTTAAAGGATGAGTAGATTTTCTCACTGGGATTTAAAAGGGGATATGAGATAGAGTGCTAAATTCATGCAGGGAATTGAAATGAGATTAGGTCAGCTCGATACTTCCTCTCAACCCTTTTCTTCTCTCAGGCAGTCAGTCCACTTTTTATTAAGTTCCCACTGTGGGACACACTGTTTTTGGAAACTTTACATTAGTCCCCCCCATGAGGAGGAGGAAGCTGTGACATTCAAAGTTGGAGGTCATGTATCATGGGTCTTTATTTTCTTTGCTCATATAGAATTATTGGTAGGGAGTAAGTAAAATACTAAAGTGGCCAATTCTGTCTTTGTATATCTTTCCTTTCAGGTTGTGTGCTAGCTTTCTCCCAGAAAACTCAGAGGCTGTGTGCAAGTATCTCGCCTCTGTTCTTATTTGCAACTCAACCCTCACTGAGCTGGACCTGAGTGAAAATCCCCTGGGAGACACTGGGGTGAAGTATCTCTGTGAAGGTCTCAGGCATTTCAACTGTAAAGTGGAGAAGCTAGAGTAAGTTTCTTACACCTATCTGGCATCATCTTATGACTATTGAACTTGTTGAGTGCCAGGCTCCATGTTTGGTGCTTGTCAAAAGTCATATCACTTCATTCATTCCTTCCATTAACCATTTAAAGTGGATTTTTTTTCATCCCCATTTTATAGATAAGGAAACTGAGGCTCAAGAGAAGAAAGTGACTTGTCCAAGGTCACACAGCTAAGTGGTACAGTCAGGATGTGACTCCAAAATCTGTCTCCAAATCTCGTACTCCTTCCAGTGTAACATAGCCTTATGTGTTTATACAAATGATACTAATTAAATATTAAATTTATATAAAATACCTACTAGTATGCTCACAACCCTGGACTAGATATGAGTGGAGTTATTGGAAGTACCACAAGTGACAAGGCTGCCCTTAAGGACACTCAGATATGAAATAATTAATATGTAATCAAGTGCCAAATACTGTGGAATCATTTAAAAATGCCAGATGAGCCAGAGGCAAAGGAGGAGATCACTGTGGGCTGGAGATCTCAGGAGGAGGCTCTGTGAAGTAGGTGGGGCAGAAGCTGAAACTTGAAGAATGGCTGGGAGTTAGCAAAGTGAGGAGGCTGGGAGAACATTCTCAGAAAGCCAAAATGGCAACAGTAGCTGATTTTTCCTCTTTTTTCTCTCTGGGTAGCTTGAGCACATGTTGTCTCACAGATGCTAGCTGTGTGGAGCTCTCTTCTTTCTTGCAAGTGAATCAGACTTTAAAAGAGCTGTTTGTGTTTGCCAATGCCCTGGGGGACACAGGAGTACAGCGTCTCTGTCAAGGTCTGGGACATGCAAAGGGTATAATTGAGAACCTTGTGTAAGTGTTTTCTTGTTCTTGTCCTTCTCCTGGTCTTTGGCATTTGGGGTTCAGTGGAACTCCCTGCTGCCATTGTTAACAACTACCTTGGTGTCTCCATCCCTTCAGGCTTTCCGAATGTTCCCTCTCTGCCACTTGCTGTGAACCACTTGCCCAAGTCCTAAGCTCCACCCGGAGTCTGACAAGGCTGCTTCTAATTAATAACAAAATTGAAGATTTGGGACTGAAACTGCTGTGTGAAGGATTGAAACAGCCTGACTGTCTATTAAAGGATCTGGCGTAAGTATCATGGACAGAGGCAGAGTTTTATGATGTTTCAGCAAAATCCTAACATTAAATGAGTTATTTTAGTCTGATAATTGCATCTCCAAGGAAGCAATATGTGTAAGACTAGATAATTTAGGAGGGATAAATCTCAGCTTCTATATTCTCTTTGCTTGGCCTGGCCCAAGAGTTTGCTTTTTATTTATTTATTTATTTTACATGACATTCTGGTTTGTATAGTGCTTTTCTAGTGGGCAGACACAATTCCTAAAGTGGCCCAGTACAAACTAAATGATGCCAGCCTTGTCTGCCTTACTTTCTGGCAGACTGTGGACTTGTCACCTGACTGGAGCATGTTGTCAGGATTTGTGCAATGCACTCTACACCAATGAACATCTGAGAGACCTTGACCTCAGTGACAATGCCTTAGGGGATGAGGGCATGCAGGTGCTATGTGAAGGGCTGAAACACCCCTGCTGCAAACTACAGACCTTGTGGTAAGTTTGCAAGAACTCTGTGGCCATTGGACTCTTGTTGCAGGCTGCTTATGAGATGGAGGACCACTGTAGAACTTGGGAGTAAAACTGATTGTTTTCTTGAATCCCCAATCCCTCATAGGTTAGCAGAATGTCATCTCACAGATGTGTGTTGTGGAGCCCTTGCCTCTGTCCTTAACAGAAATGAGAACCTGACATTGCTAGACTTAAGTGGAAATGACCTCAGGGATTTTGGAGTGCAAACATTGTGTGATGCACTGATTCATCCAATATGTAAACTACAGACATTCTAGTAAGTCACTGTGGTGGGGGGGAGTGGCAGGGTGGTGGTCGGGACAGGCATGTTGGATTTGATCATAGCCTATTGCAGTGGGGAAAGGGGAAAAAGGTGAGGGCAGGCCATGCCTAGACAAAATAGAAAAGTAAATCACCTTACCAATAGGTCTTTCCTTCTTAGACACAGGAGCAGAGAGAGAGGGGAGCAAAGAACAGGCAGCACTGTATCTCATTCCTATGGGAAGCAGCTTATCATAGGGGAAAAGTACATGTTCTAGTTTTTTCTAGACCTGGCTCAAATCCTAGATCAAGCATTTACTAGCTACGTGACCATGAGGAAGTGACTTAACCTTTCTGAACTTCAATATCCTTGTCTATAAAATGGGGACAATACTAGTAACTGACCACCTTTGATTAATGTGGGGATTTAATTAAGTGAGACAATTGTGAATATTCCCAGTACAATCCTTGGCATGTAGTAGCACTCAACAAATGTTAGTCCCTTTTCCCTTTTCCTCTTCTAATGCCTGCTAAAGGCCTTAATATTTGCATTTTGAGAGTTTTCAAGACTCAAAGGGATGAAGCTGTAATGGAACAATTACAGAAGGTGGTGATTTTGACCCACTCTGGTCAATGTCTGCCTGCCAGCTCAGCAAGCTGGCATAACACACAAAGTAATTCTTAATTAGGATACAACTGTGCTCTGTTGGCAGCTAACCAGTGGCCAAATGACCATTTGTTTCTGGCATTCAGAACTGGAACACATAATGGAAAGTAAAAGCTGAGTGCAAAAAATTCCACATTCCAAACCCAATTTGAAAGATTGGAGCTTAAATGAAAACAGCATAAAGGCCTGATTACAAGTCTGGCTGAAACAGAAGCTGGGTCTCTACTAGCTAAGTGAACTCTGTCCATGTCAAATGCTCAAGAATGCAGTGATTACTGCTCAGCAGAGGGAAGTATTCACAACGTGATAAGCCTCAGAAGTCAGGGTTCTCCTTGTGCTGTCTTTATCAAAAGGAGGCAGCTGGAATTTGTATAGAGTCAACAGGTTGAAATACGCTCAACAATCAACCCTAGTGTTTCTTTAAGTGGGGAGTAATTTATTGTTGTAGCACTCTCCAGCATGTGTGCTGCAGCAAAGGTCTTAAATGACAGCAAGGAGAAATTATTTTGTTCTTGATGGCATGCCTTCTTTATTTGTTGTTTTATTGTAAAGTATTAGCCATTTCCTATTTCTCTTTGTCTTTTAACCAGTATGCTTCCACTGAATTTTCAGGCCAGCCCTCAAACCTGTATAATTTATCAATCAAAAGTCAATAGCAGAAGGCAATAATACCTTACAAAATCACCCAGAGAAAGAGAGAGAGAATGAGAATAGATAAAATTCACTGGTCTCAAATAAAGTTTGAATGTTAAAACGCATATGAGACAAAATTGAGGTCAATAAAAATATATATTTACACAAGTAAGGTAAAAGGAAGATACTGGTCAATTAATGTGATGGTGGTTTAGAGAGGGGGTGAATCCAGGAGAGCCTCCTAGAAGGCACAAGGTAGTCTTCTCTGGAAATTGAAAATGCTTGAGAAAGAAGGTTATTTCCTAAGAGCTGCTTGAGTACAAGGTCTGAATTTTGTTCCTCATTACATTTTGCACTGTTGACTTCCTGGCACAGTGCATTGCATATTGTAATTACATGTTACATGTAGGAAACCAGTAAGTAATTTACAGCAACTGGAGGCAAAGCAAGGCATTAACGAATAGTATGTTCAATAAAGACTAGATGTCTAGACACTCAGCATATCAAGGGAAAAGAAGAGGTTGTATTCTCAGAGTGACAAAGCTTACCTTCATTAATTCCATAGGTACTTGCTGAATAACTCTTATATGCCAGGCAATTGTGCCAGGTGGTGGGGAGACAAGAATGAATAAGACAAGACATGATCTATGCTTTTGAGCTAGTGGGTCTAGTAGTAGAGACAGGCAAACATATTGATTATTCTAATGCAGTGAGGTAATCACAAGGTTTTATGGTAGGGGACACTTAACCTAGCCCGAGATGGTCAAGAAAAGCTTCTTGGAGAAACGGCTACCTAAGTTGAGTCTTAGGATTATTGCCAGGGGAAGAGGAGGTAGAGGTGGAGAAAGGTAATTCATACTTAGGAGACAGCATGAGCAAAGGTACCCAGACAATAAACAGCATGGTTTATGGTATGTGATGGGGATAGAGGTAGGAGATTTCCAAGCACTTTGATATTGTTAGAACATAATGTGCAAACAAGATGTGTCAGGGAGGGAGAGGAAAAAGGGGAGTCAATGTTTAGGAAACATTGAATTTCTGTTTATGGTGATGGAAAATTTAGCAGTGGATATTGGTGATGGTTGCACAACAGAATTAATGTAATTGGTGTCACCAAATTGTGCGTGTGAAAAACACCAAATTGAAAATGTTGTATTATATATACTTTTGTAACAACTTTTTTTTTTAAAAAAAAAGAAATAAGTCTGAGGAGGTAGACAGGGCTTTATATACCATGTGTAATAAGAAAGACTTGCTAGCAGGATTCTGTGTGCAAATTTAATCATCTCTCTTTCTCTCATATATTCTATTAGTAGTACAATTTGGCACCTCTTCCCACTCCACCTTTCCAAAACTGGCCCCAAAGATAGGGCCAGTGTTGCTTTCAAAACTGGGTGGAGAATGAGTTCACTGCTGCTGCTGTTTCTCACTGCCACATCAGGTTGATCTTGAGAACTGATCCTACACGGTCCAACAGAAGCTTGGTTACTGGTCCAGATTCCTGGCAGCCCTGTTGTGGCGTTACGCTTGGGCTTCAAGGTCCTCTTAGTCCACACCCAAATATGTAGCCATTGTTCTCTAAAGTACCATATGTGTCATGATGGCTGGGACTACAGGAGTTCACAGAATCAGCCACAGGCACATATATACTAAAATGTGCCCTTGTCCACAAAGATGTAGGCCCTTGTGTAAGCCAGGAGCACCACTAAAGATTTCTTATTCCTTCAAGGGTCACTGTTACCTTTCTCAGTCACTGAGCCTTCAATGAAGCCATCCTAGCTTACCCTGATACATGTTCCTAATTCTAAACTTGGAAAGAAAAGATTAAGGGTAACTGGTCTTTTAATTCCCAGTTAACTTTTAACTGGGCTTCTATAGCATATTTTGGCTCACCACCTCACCAACGATGAGTTCTACATATCACATATTAGGAGGCAAAACAGATTTTGCTTAGTCACTCAAAAAATACTAAACTCTTGTTACATACCACTTCCAAGGCATTAAAAGTCTACTTGCCCTATAATTGAATAAACAGTAAGGCCCCTCACTTTGCTTTCGTAAAGATTAATTTTTCTCCATTAAAAACTGAAAACTGTACCTAATTGTGTACTTGAAAGACTTTCAACCTTCTTTTGTAGTCAATGGGTTTTAATCAGGGATTAAATCCAAACACATATTGAATATGAAGTGCCTGTGGAACACTTGAGAAGTTTTCTCGTAGGTAGGTAGTTGGATATAGGAAGAAATAATCTTCATAGAGATTAATAGTGAATGAGATCCCACAGGGAGAGTGAAAAAAGAAGACTCTGAGGAATATCTCTGGGGAGTAAACCCTGGATAATACCAATTTTTAAGCAGAAAGTATGGGAAGGAAAACCCATGAAGTATACAAGAAGAAGGAAAGGTGAGGATGTTGTGGAGAGAACCAGGAGAAAGTGGTGTCCTACAAGCCAAAGGAAAAGAGAGTTTCAAGAAGAAATGGTCACATGTAACAGAGAATTTCAACAGAATGAGTACTGAAAAGTACCCATTGGATTTAGCAATTAGGAGAACACTGGTGACCCTTTCTAGGACTGTGTTAGTGGTGTGGTGGGGCCAGAAACCAGATTGCAGTGACTTGAAGAGATAGGATATGAGGAAGTAGAGAAAGTGGGCAGAGATTACTTTTTCAAGAAGTTTGTGAAAAGGAGGAGAGAGGTGGGATTATAAGTAGAGTAAGTTGTGGGACTAAAGGAAAGTGGGAGTTTTTCTTTTTCTTCTTCCTTTGTTTTAAGATAGGCACATTTGCAGATTGAGAGAAAAGAGCTCACAGAGGTTGCAGATACAGGAGTAGGAACTAATGAACTAATGGAACAGAGCCATGGTTGAGACAGGAGGAGGATGGGAGTGAGAATCCAAGGAGAGGTGATATATTTTAACTTTTGAGACTCAAGGGAAGGGACCAAGGATGAAAGAGGAGGTAGATAACCAGGTAGATAAAGTAACTGGTGCCATGGATAAGTATGGATGGGAAATATTGTCCTTAAGAACAGGAGAGCTACTGCAGGCATCTGTTGGCTGACTTGACAGATTTTTTTTTCCTTTTTTTTTTACTGAAAAAAATCTTACTGCCATCGAGTTGATTCTGACTCATGGCAACCCCCATTGGGTTTCTTTACAGCATTGATACGGACCATTTACATGAAGAAACCTTCAGAAAGATGGAAGCTTTAAAAACAAGCAAACCTGGAATCACCTGGTAATTTCTAAGGACAGGCCCCAAAATATTGACTGCATATAGATTCCCTCTATCTGGCACCATATTTAACAATTGTGCAGTATAAGTGTTTCAAACTTGTTAACCTTTGCTGAGGACACTAGTGTGAAATAAGCAGCAGTGATTTCTATTTCTTACGTAGAACCATCCACTAAGTAGGATGGCAGAAGCACCTTAGTTCAATTGTCCTCAGAAATAATAACAACTTATATTCCTATATTGTGTTATAGTGTTTATTGTGCTTTTGCTAGAGCCTCTAAGGTGAGAAGATGAGGCTCAGAGTAGTTGTGACTAGCTCTAGGTCACACAGCTAGTTAATGGGAGAGTTGGGACTAGAATCCAACTCCCACACTAGTCTCCCAACTCTACCACACTATGCAGGGGAAATATAGAAAAAAAGATGCTTGAATGAGTCTACTTAAAGAAACAAGCTATTTGAAATGATTAAAGAACATATGCTG